AAACTTCATCATCCTTGTCTTCCCCACATTCACTTCCAGCCCCTTCCCCCTAAAATATCTTTCCAATGTCTTTATCATATCTTTCATCTCCGCCGCTTCTCTCGCCATGACCACGATGTCATCCGCGTATGCTAACATATGCACCTTTCTACCTCCCACCACCAACCCTCCCATTTGCCCCTTCCCCAATCTATCCTCCAGGTCCGCCGTATACAGTGCAAACAGACTTGGGCTCAGCGGACATCCCTGCCTCAGTCCCTTCGTCGTCCAGAACACGTCGCTCAGCTTATCTCCCACTTTTATCCTAGCCATCGTCTCCATGTATATTTCCTTCACTCTCGCAATTAGGTGTTCCGTTATCCCCCTCCTCCCCATCTCCTCCCACAACTTCCCCCTATCCACCTTATCAAAAGCCGCCTTCAAATCTATAAACAGGGCGTACAATTTCCCTCCCTTCTTATCTAGCTCTCTATCTGCCAAGTGCTTCAACACATACACGTTGTCGATTGCTCCCCTTCCCTTCCGAAAGCCTGCCTGCACATCCGGCAAAATTCCCCCCAACTCCATCTCCTCCTCCAATCTTCCCAGCAGTATCTTCGTGTATACCTTGTATGCCGAGTCTAGTAGGTTAATTCCCCTGTAGCTCTCTACACTTCCCTTATTACCCTTTTTATATACTGGGCAAATTACCCCCACTTTCCATCCCTCCGGATGGAATTTCTGAAATGAATTTCCATTTCTGAAATGTAAATACGTTTACGAATCTACGAAAATGTCTCCTAGAGATATTCAGCTTTAATTTTTTTCTTTCCATCTTATCTCACATCATCCGAACGGAGAAGTATATAATTTTATATGTTTGCAGGAGAAAAACAGCCAAATTTTCTAAAAATTTATAAAACAATTCAATCCCATGGAAGCCGTAAAAAGGGGTTATAAGCTCTGGTGCTTAGCAGATAAGAAAGGGTACATAAAGAAATTTGATGTGTTTCAGGGAAAATCTTCTGAAATTGAAGAAAAATTTGCCCTTCAACTTACTGATCTTTTGGAGAAACTGATAATTGAGAAAACCTTAGCTTGTGAAACTACAAAGTCTACAAAAAAGGTGCACCAAAAAATGTTGTAGATGATAAACGAATGAAAAGAGGAGATTATGATTACCGGATATCAAATTTAGATATAAGTTATTACAAATGGAAGGACAGTAAGTGGGTGAAATTTTGCTCTAATTTTCATGGAACAGAAGACACCACAGTAAAAAGGAAGCAAAATAATGGAACGAAAATTGATGTGCGCTGTCCTTCAGTCGTTGATGATTAAAATAAAAACATGGATTCGGTAGATCATGCCAATCAACTTCGTCAACTTGCTGACGACGTAAGACTTGGCAACCGTGTATTAGTTTTGGAAAAGAAAGAGGAAGTTGTGAAAATTCTTCTGCCAAAGCTATTTAGTCCAGACCCCACTCAAATGTACTGCGTGCAAAGTTTATTGATGTTGTAATGAAAAAAACAACTGTTTTTCTGAATATCATGATGTGATTTAGCTAAAGCACGTGTTACTTATTTTCTAACGTAATCAAAAGTGTATTATTTTTATATTAGCAATCAAACTTTTTGTATATTGCAACATCACCAAAATATATTTTAATGCTTCACGGTACTCTCAAGTACCATTATGGACTGGGGGGATTGTCATATTTTGCTAAAATTGATTCCAAAGGCCTTTACTGAGTGTATTTTGAAAGCATTTTAATGCTGTCACAAAGTTTCAAAATTTTTGACTTCTTGGGATACAAAGGGTTAAGCCATGGTTTACCAGATCCGATTAATAATAATAATAATAATAATAATACTTTATTGAGCTTCTCAATTACAGTAATAAAGTAACAGTATCCTTTACATTAAATGTGCTCAATATGAGTTAGTTCGGTTTTCACCGTTCTTCCACCAACCCATCACAACGAAAAGAAAAACAAAAAGAAAAACAAAACAACGATTTCAATTACATAACCGTAATCGCACTGTAACATGCATACATTTTAACCTAATAAATCTAATCAAAATTCATTCGAGCTCCATGCCACAAAAGACCGATGCAAACAAAAGAAAAATATGAAATATGTCGCTCCCTCCCACTTCTACAGATTCCCGTGTGACTGCCACTCAGACGAGCACACTCCAACATTTATAATAATATCATTAATAAATTATATTATATAAAATTATATATATAAATTATAAATTATTTATATATTATATAAATATTATATAAATTATCATAATAAATTAAGGCGGGGGGCGTCTTTTGGAAGTGCTCCAATTATCGGGGTACCTTAGATAAATCCGTCATTATTGTCGATGAAAATCTTGCTTCCCAACCATCAAATAGTCCTAGCAATGCTCAATTGTATCGCCTTTTGTCTTCCATCCAGAGCGACGTAAAGAATTTATCGGATAAATACGATGAAATTCTAAAGTCTATTTCGTTCTACGGGGACAAGATCACTGATTTTGAACGGACCCTAAACAAATTTAGCGATAAGATCAAGCAGGTCGACGTACTGGCCACCGAAAATACAAAGCTTAAGGCCGATCTAGTCACGGTGGAGAATCGTCTTGATCACTTGGAACAGTATTCGCGGTACAATAATTTGATTATCTCGGGAGTTCCTGAACGTGAAGGTGAAAATCTTTCTGCTATTGTATCAACCATTGCTGCGACCATCAACTCTCCCATTGCAGCTTCCGATTTTGATGCCATCCACCGCTTGCCTCATAGACCATCCCTTGAAAAAGATAAACCACGCGTTAAGTCCATTATTGTTAAGTTTACATCTAGAATGACTCGGGATCGTGTTCTTGGCGCGGCCAAATTATATAGTCGGAACACTAATGGCCGCGGTTTGTCACTGCCGGATATCGCTGATAACAAATTGTACATTAACGAACATCTCACAGCTAAAATATGGATCTTTTTAATAAAGCTCGAGTAATCGCAAGGGAGAAAAACTATAAATATGTCTGGACGAAAGGATGTGTGATCCATGTGAGACGGGATGACAGAACATGATTATTGGTTATTAAGTCCTTGGCCGATTTGAAGC